ATTTCTTTGGGTCCATGAGACGTTGTCAAAACCTGTCTCAGGCTAACTCAAGCACAGAATTGAAAATGTTATATAAAATTTTTACTTCTTTGAAAGAGTAATGATAGAAAACTGCACATTTTTTCTAGTGTAGTATCACGGCGGGGGCTCAAAATATTTCCAGTTTAGATTTAGAGAAAATTTACTCACCCTCTGGTCATCCAAGATGTACTGTAGATGACTTTGTTTCTTCATGTACATGTAATATGTACATAAATATAACTCAGTACTTAAATATATAGTTTTTTATATAGTTTTTTCTCCTGTTGAACACAGAACAGTATATTTTGAAGAATGTTGAACACTGGGGTCACACTTTATTCTTATGGTCCGTTTGTTGAATTTAAGTTACATTGCATCTACATGCCAAATAATTCTCATTAAATTATAAGTAGACTGTTAGGGTAGGGGTTAGGGTTAGTGTAAGTTGACATGTACTTGCAACATGACTTATAGTGAGTTAAATGTCTGTTTAGCAGCAGTATCAACAGATATTAAGCAGACAGTCTACTAATACTCAACTGGACCATCAAAATAAAGTGTTACCAAAACCAGTAGCCATTGACCTCCATTGTATTTTTTTCCACTGTCCAGTTACTATTTATTCATCCATTCATTCATTTTCTTGTCGGCTTAGTCCCTTTATTAATCCGGGGTCGCCACAGCAGAATGAACCGCCAACTTATCCAGCAGAATGCCCTTCCAGCCGCAACCCATTTTTGGGAAACATACACACACACACACACACACACACATACACACACACACATCAATACACTGATTTAGCACTCATTTAGCCTACCCAATTCACCTGTACCGCATGTTTTTGGACTGTGGGGGAAACCGGAGCACCCTGAGGAAACCCACGCAAACGCAGGGAGAACATGCAAACTTCACACAGAAACACCAACTGAGCGGAGGTTCGAACCAGAGACCCAGCGATCTTCTTGCTGTGAGGTGACAGCACTACCTACTGTGCCACTGCGTTGCCTTCAGATACCATTCCTCCAAAAAGAAAAAAAAAAAAAAAAAACATAAAGCTTCTGATTCACTTGAAGTTTGGTGTAAGGGACAAAGCAGTCAAGGGCAAAAAACACAGGATTTCAAAAAGGAAAAAACAAAGTGACAAAATAAACTAAAATTAAGTCAGATCTGAACGTAAATAAATAAACTTAACAGAATCATTCAATTAAACGAACAAAAAAAACAAATAAACAAACAAACAAACAAACAAACAGAAAGACAGACCTAACTTCAATTACACAAAAGGGAACTTATATAAAAAGTAGAAACTAGAAACTAGAAAACTAGACATTACAAACTAATACAAATTAATTACCAAACATATTTAAATAATACACTTAAAATAATTAACCAATATATAAACAAAGACAAAGCAAATCAGATACTAATAATAAACAAGAATAAAGAAATAAACATTCCAACAACCCCTCCGACAATTTGCATTATGGTTTGATCAGGTAGAACATAGTGTCTGCCAGCCAGTCCTTTAGACTTAAGCCGGACCTCTGGAGCATTGAGCCATGCCAAACTGATCGCAGACTCCAAGAAATAAATATCAATGAATCCTCTTAAATAAGAGCTAGAAATGTGCACTTCAAACTAGTAACTTATGACAAGAAATAACTGAAACAAAAGGAAAAATGTAAAAGTGAACCAAACAGTGTCTGTGTATAATCTGTAACGAATAATAAAAGAAAGAAGTACTAAATTAAAGTTATGAATGAGTGTATATACCCTTGTTTACTGTGGGGCCATTACAGTTGGTGAAATAAAAATTGTGGGTGAACTGCCCCTATATTGAGTTTTAAAGAAACAAATTCATCATTTTGACTTTAAGCCATTGCTTCTACTCAACATATAAGTCCATAATAATGTGTTCTGCTGAGAAAATAAGTAATACTCAAATGTTCTCTCAAATCAAAATACACCAACATATTTGTTTACATCATTTTAAACTGTTTTCATTTCTAAACACTGTTTGATCTGTGTATATTTCTATCCTAATTAAGACACGACAACATCTTCAATGGAGATAGCAAGGTTGTGGAGAGAGGACTGTTAGTTTAGCTCAAAGCAAGTTAAAGCGGCCCTATTATGTTATTTTAAATGCTTGGCTTACATTCATTCAAGGTCTAAAAACACTTTCATTTTGTTGTAATATACATTGTATGTCACATCTCATCTTTCTTCAGTGTCTGCTACAGTTCATTTAAGGATCTGGTCTCTCTAAACTCCTTTAAAACTGCATTTATGAGCGGCTGCACTGTTCTGATTGGTCAGATGATTTGGTCTGTTTCGATTGGTCTATTATTTGACAAATGTTTTACCTCTGGAGGCTTCCTCAGCACTTGTAAACACAGTGGATGTATGCAAAACCGCCTTTATATCCTTAAATAGTGCACTATTTAAGGGAGCAAAATCCTTGTGTTTATTGTTTTTAGAAAATATGTAAAATCTTTTTTTTTCAGATAGGCCTTAGGGAGTGCACTTTTGCTCGGTCTCACACACAAATACAGGCATCTAAATGCACACAAACACACTTTTTAAACTTGACAAAAACTCTTGAAAACATTTTCTGTCTGCTGTGTCTTTTATATGGTGTAAAGATTATTATGCGTTATTGAAACATCAAGGAGGATGCAGCAAAGTCACTTATAAAATAAAACTTTATTATTTTATGCAACAGCTTTACATTTAAAAGTTAAACATAAGGGCGATCATATGCAAAAAGACCCCAGCCTAGGCTAGAAGTTTTCTTTCCCTTATTTGTTTATTTGTTTGGCGCATGTACTTGTATGCCATCGGAAAATTGTGTCCGCTCTCCGCCTCTCATTTTACTCCGCCCCGAAGCCCCAGTTGGCCCTTTTTGGCTCAAGGTATTCTGCGGGCCGAAAAAGGCCGGCCGCTGGCCCCAAGAAAGCCCCGATTTGGGCCGATAATGCCCCAGAAGTGACTGTGGAAACGCGACTGGCCTTGGCTCGCCCTGGCTCGCTCGCTGTAGGCGCAATAGTGGATACACGGCTATTATGATATAAATAGTTAACTATATGCGAAAATGAAAACCTAATTACATTTTTAACAATAATGTTATTTATTATGACACTGTTATACATTGTATCTTTTAAATGGATTAAAGTAAAAAAAAAAGACTGTTGGAATAAAAAAGAAATCTGCTATTTCTCTTACTTTTATGCTATATTCAGGAGCCATTTGCACCCACTGACAGGTAAAATCTGCTTCTTTCTTTCTTTCTTTCTTTCTCTCTTTCTTTAAAGTTTGAGCAAACTTGAATGTCAAAGCATTGTAGATATACAGTTGAAGTCAAAATTATTAGCCCCCTCTTTAATTTTTTTCTCCTTTTTAAATATTTACCAAATTATATTACCATATATTATATATATACATTTTCACAGTATGTCTGATAATATTTTTTCTTCTGAAGAAAGTCTGATTTGTTTTATTTAAAATAGAATAAAAGCATTTTTTAATTAAAAATATATTTTTTTTTTTAATTATTAGCCCCTATTTTTTTTTTTCGACAGTCTACAGCAGGGGTCACCAATCCTGGTCCTGGAGGGCCGGTGTCCCTGCAGTATTTAGCTCCAACTTACCTCAACACACCTGCCTGGATGTTTCAAGTATATCTAGTAAGACCTTGATTAGCTTGTTGAGGTGTGTTTGATTAGGGTTGGAGCTAAAATCTGCAGGACACCAGCCCTCCAGGAACAAGTTTGGTGACCACTGGTGTACAGAATAAATCACACAATAACTTGCCTAATTTCCCTAACCTGCCTAGTTTACCCAATAAACCTGGATAAGCCTTTAAATGTCACTTTAAGCTGTATAGAAGTGTCTTGAAAAATATCTAGTCAAATATTATTTACTGTCATCATGGCAAAGTTAAAATATGTTTCGAAATGTGTTGAAAAAATCTGCTTTTCGTTAAACAGGAAGCAGGGAAAAAAATAAACAGGGTGGCTAATAATTCAGGGCGGCTAATAATTCTGACTTCAACTGTATATAAAATATTTAATATATTGACATCATAAAATTAATAAGATATACAACAAATAAGAAACAAATGACAGAAAACAGAAAAACTGACAATATCACTAAAAGTTATGATATTTTAAAGATTAAAGCAAGTATATTATTTAAATAAGGCAAATGTGTTGATTATTACTAATAACAACAAAAATAACAAGACGTATATTTGTACATATATTTTGCACCCCATTTAGACCAGTCATTTCATTCTCTCCGAGCATATAATAAATTCATTTAGATTGAGGAATTAATTATTTTATGTTTTCAAGTGAAGGTAGTCTTCAATAAAAACTAATGCAAAAACACATAACAACCGCTTTAGAAAGTGAAAGCAAAAGTCGTATCCTGAACATTTTAGGAGCTTTAGAGTGCTTTCACACTCGATTCAGTTGTTCCGAAACAGAGATTACAAATGTTACATTGTTACTCTTTGCACTTAAAGCGGTTCACTTTCACACTGCAAAGTTTCTAATTGGACCAAAAGAGCTAAAACAAGTCACGTGTGAGTAAACCCTCATCACATTGGTCAGAGTGTCAGGGTTTATTTTGCAGAGTCCCACTCAGCTGTCAGGAGAGGTGGTTGTTTGATGGTGCTTGACAAGGTGCATGCGACGTGTCTAAAGAGGGAGGAGAGATGCTGTGGGGAGGGGTGAGAAGGGTGCGTGACGTAGCCTATTTGAGGACCGGGAGGGAGACGGAAGATTACCGGGAAATTATCACTCGTTTGTCAATTATCAATTTTACTGCATCAACAACACAAACCAATTCTCAGCTTCAACTGCAGTATTTGAGAAATAAAGTATACATACTCAGGGGGCCAATGGAGACCACAAATTTATTACAAACCTAATATTTACTATGCTGAAGGTTTCACCTGTTTTCTTTTGCAGGTGTGTTGTGGAACCTGTCCTCATGTGATGCTCTGAAGATGCCTATAATTCAGGACGCTCTAGCTGTCTTGACCAACACCGTGATTATACCCCATTCCAACTGGGATGTGTCCCCACATCAGGAGGACCGCAAGCTGCAAATGCACACTTCCCAAGTACTTCGCAATGCCACCGGCTGCCTGAGGTGAGTATGCGTGTGCTTTTTGTGATAGCAGCTACTTGACAGAAGTTTAGTCTCATTATTATAGTTCAGCACAGACATGTAAACACTTTGATCAAACTATGACTGTTTTGTAGAACTTTTTCGCTACACTCTGCAACATGATGCACACTCAGGAGTTGTCAGGTTTTTAACGACAAACAAATGTAAATGGCTTTAAGAAAACATGTTTTTCGTGCATGTGGGAAACCATGACTATACTAAGAATTCTCCCTCCATTCCTTACTGTGAACTCTTATCCAGTTATTCCAAGTGTGTCTTGGGGGCATGAAAGAAAAGTTAGTGAATAAAATTGCAGAGGTGGCCTGTTGCCTAAGAATTTGTGTGTACCGTCATCTGTTTACATGCATAGTGTGAGAAATTACCTGGAGTTCAACATGTCGCAAAATGAAAAAATGAAACTACCATAATGGCGAACAAGAATTGTTCAAAGAAAACTGCCGCAGAAAACTAGCATCAAATGGTATGTTAATCAAACTATGTACTATAACATGTAAAACAGGCGCATGAAAAGAACATTCAAAATGCAGATTAAGGTAAATGATTAGATTTCTGATGTCCATGTAAACATTGTCAATGTTACCCCTCAAAATGCATTGGTGGTACTTGTACTGTAGTGTTATTGTAAAGAAATCAAAATTATCACTTTATCACTATTGTTTTTAAAAAGACAATTTATTAAGAGAAAATTTCAATCAACATGGTCTCCATCAGGTCATCCGCATTTTGTTTGCTTTAAGCATCAGCTTAAAGTTTTCTTATGCCGAGTTCAGACTGCATGATTTTCAAAGTAGCTGCGTCACATATGTTTTCACACTGCATGGCTATCTGGGGTAGCATTCAGTCGTGACTGTGTTTACATTGCAAGATGGATCGGTGACAGGGTTTCACACTGCATGACTTTACAATAGGAAGAATCGCTGACAACTTTTTCTCAATTTGCATACTACGTCTCACAACCAAGCACACACAAGAAGGAACATAGAATGTGGCATGCAGTATATCTTAACCTATTATAACTACATAATGAGAAAGACGCCTTAAGTGGGGTAGAAATTGTACATATTTTGCTCACCTGGCTTTTGAAGGCACTTTCTCCTCAACTTTTTGGCTTTTTTTTTTGACCCGGTTGTGGCCTGCAGATGTCCATACTACTGGATGCTGCTCTCTCATTGGCTGTAGGTAACGACCGATGTTTTTTCAATCAAGAGTACATTTCACACGGCATGATTTTGAATCGCAGACAGCTCCAGATATTTAGAATGCCAAATATAAATGATTCTTTCAGGTCACTTCTTTGGCACTGATTTACCTGTGATTTCAGGTATTTGTTAGCGATTTCTTAAAACCTGTCGACGAGTCAAAATTTGGGCTAAAATCATGCAGTCTGAACTGGGCGTTAGGATGTGGGCACACTGTTTTTATATCCAGTTGTAGTGTTCTTGGCATGTGTTGTTAGTTCTTATGTCGAAAATAACTCCATAAACCAAAAAACATAGGGGGAATTCAAATGAGGATTTTGGTACAAGTGTTGCAATAAAATGAGGATCAGTGTTGACATTTCTAAAGTAGAAAGGAATTGAGACACAAGCATGGATTATAAAGAGATGCTGTGTGTGTTTTATTAGACAGATGGACCACTGTTTGGGTGCTTTTGCATGATATTCTAATATCGATCTACTGTGTTATCTTATTACCTGAGTGCAATGTGCAACAATTGTCTCATGCAAGCCTCTAACTAAAATATACAGTAATGCTATAAAAAACAACATTCAGCACACTCAATGGTATTTTGTGATTGATTTGAGCACATGCTATTGGTTACCAGTCAATTTAAATTTACAGATAACATGACCTGTAGTGGGGTGGCACAGTGGCCTTACAGCAAGAAGTTCACTAGTTCCAGCTGGACCAGTTGGCATTTCTGTGTGGAGTTTGCATGTTCTCCCCTTGTTTGTGTGGGTTTCCTAAGTGAATTGACTAAACTAAATTTGCCGTAGTTTATGAGTGTGTGAATGCAAGAGTGTGTGGGTGTTTACCAGTACTTTGTTACTTATTCTGTTATATTACAATGAAATGTAATGCGAATTTAAAGGATTACAATTAAATGTTTATAAAACTTTAATATATGACAAATTCATGACAAGGTCAATGCAAAATTCCATTTGGGAGTTAAATACAACAACTTCCATGATTCCATCCTTCATAACAGTCATCAAGCTGCATACACTGAAAAAAAATGCTTTTCTTACGTAGAATTTTTGTCTTGTTTCTAGTCCAAATATCAAAACATTTTAACATTTTAACCCTTTGACGTGAGTTTTAAATACTCCAGTTGATCCTCCTGCGTGAGTTTTTTTGTTTTTTGACCGTTACTTAAAATCTATTGCTACTTAAAATCTACCCACCAGCCTCCCAATGATCTATGCATATATCGTATTTTGTTTCTTTTTTCCCTTTTCTGTGAATACTGACAAATGTTCTAATTATATTGTGTAAGTTCTGATTCTCAAATATGTGATAGAACATATATTTTGTCTTTTAAACAGCTCAAAAATGATCTTATTATTTGTTTGTTATATAACAGGTAATGGGCGCCATCGTTGTTGGTAGAATGGATAGAGCTACGCCTGTGATTTACAGTGATTAAATTACGAATTCATTTTATTTTATTAGCATCTTCTTCTACCTTAACCCTAACCCAACCCCCATGGTAATGTGAATATAATATTTGTTGTACAGTGTAGGGGTGTCAAAACTAATTGTTTCTTCGGTGCACCGTGATGCAGACGTGGACAATTCAGTATAGGTTTAGTAGTAATCATAACCGGTTATTATGTACTGACGACATTTAGCTCATATGCGATATGTTGCCGTAGCTTACTATGACAAAAACTATGATTAAAAAAGCTCAAACTGTGCACAGTTTTACTGTGTGTGTTTTTGCTGGACAGTCTTTCACTGACAATTACAGAAGAAGCCCCTATTACACTGCGATTTACAGAACTTTTGGATACATACACGAGCGCGTACCTGCGGAGTTTTCTCCACTGTGTTTATCACAGATCAGCTGTGATCCCCTCCGCCATTTATCAGTGTCACTCATATGGAAGAGCACCAGCAGGCAAGTGTAATAACAAAACGGGTGTAAGAACATGGTAGACAAGGCTCAGAAAGCGAGTGGGATATTTGTATTTGTTTATTTCCTATAGATGCTCGTGTTGTTTAAAGGTACAGTTTACATATCTGACTGTTTGTATTAAACGACAAAATTGTATTACAAATAGTATATAAATATAAATATTTTTATACATTTTAATAAAAGAATTGCTGCTGTAAAAAAAATATAAAACTGTGTATAGAAAGCATCGTCAATGCACTGTGATGCACCTAGATATCCAATTGAAGTGAATCGATGGCATGATAATCATAACCGAACCGAACCATGAGACAAGTGTAGGTTCACAGCTCTAGTACAGTGTCACAAAAATTAGGCCATATTGATGTGAGCATTCTCAGCTGTATACCTTGTAGACTTGACCCTCTTCTGGCAAAGTCTAGATGAGATGCAGCTGTGGATACTCATATCAATATAGCATAATTTTTGTAATAAAATAAATGTTATTTGTTTAAAGCCCTGCTAAATTGTGATTTATGGCAAGCACTGCACATCTCTCGCTATGTCTAAGCAAGCTCTGTCAGATTTTAAGTTTAGCAGTTGATGACAGGCGCTCTAAGTGTTTTAATCACACTGGTGTGATCGTATGCTTCAGTGGCCAGCCAAGGCTGATAACACTGGTGTAATCAATCAAGAAGTATTTTGTAGACAGGCAAAAACCACTGACCGGTTTTAGGAAATAAAATGCTAAAATTAAGTAAGTTTTTCCTTAAAGCAAGCTAAATAATCTGTTAATAATCTGTCAATTGGGTAAGCAAAATAATTTTGTTTTTATTTTTTTCTAAAACATTTTTCTAATGAATAAAAAAAAAAACATTTAAACATTATTATTATATTGTCTCATGTTCATCTTCTAGCAACCAGGCGACTTTTGTCCTCAAAGCGTTCAATACAAAAACAGACTTCTTTCACATGTACTTCACGACTTTATCTCAGATTGCATTTATAAAACCTTTGCTCTACCTTCCCTTTTTCAAACGCAAAGATCTTTGATTAATTGCAAATGACCTAAAAGGGTTGATCTCTCATTGAAGATCGAACAGATTGTGGCTTGTGTTGTGCAGTTGTTTCTATGGCAGCTGGCTGCGTGATGTAGAGAAGAGACTCTTTTTCATATCTGGACCACTGAGAGCGATGCTTCCTTTGATGAAGCTAACAAAAAAGAGCTTTGGATTTTTTTTACACCTCCTTCCTGTTCCACATGGAATGAGAAACTAGTCTGACAAGTCATTTTCCCCCCTCAGTCACGTCTGTTCTGTTCGTAACTCTCAATCGCCCCTGGGTAAATCTGAATCATAACCTATACGGCTTTGTCACAGTGAGTCAAGATTTACCATATCGCTCCTGAGTCTTCTGCATAAAGGAAGACAACACAAAGCATCTGATTCATGATTTATGCAGCAATGCATAATGATGTTTATGTGCTGCGCGAAAGCTAGCTTATTATGATTTATACATAGGCGAAGAGTTGGTTGAAAAATAACTGTTGATTCTCTCGGGCTGAGTATCACTCTCACGAAAGGCCTTTTTTCTTGTATCCACAGCAACAGCACAGTATTAAACTACTTTAAAGTCACCGCAGTGAGACGAGCATGCTGCTTTTGTTTGCTTTCACAATTCTTTTTTTTTTTTTTTAACTAGTGAAATCTTTGCAAACCATACTTGGAGAACATTTCCAGTGAACCGTAAGCTTTTAGAATGCAATTTCTGCATTGCACCAACAGAGGCAGATGCACTGTATGCAAACACACACTGACATGTAAATACAAACAGTCATCGCATTCCA